CTTGAAACTTACATAAATTGTCTTCGGTCTCGTTGCTTCGATCCAAGTTGTCTTTGTTCCAGTCCTTTAGCTTCTTCAATATGTTATATACCTCAAATAACCTCACTTGATAGCTGGTCTTTTAAAGATTTTTCCTGTAAATACCAATTTAAGGCAGTAAGTTTTTTTGTTAAACTTCAAAAGATTAGTTAAACTGTTCTCAACAATTAAAGTGCTATGTCTATAGAAAACTCAAAATTATACTGAAAGTAATTTTGGACCTCCTTGAGTGTTTTTGAGTTTTTTGTTATTAGTAATAGTATGTCCACACTAATACGTACTCTGCTTGGATGGTTTTATGTGAAAAAGAAACTTCCTTAAAATAGAAGAATATCAAAAACTTATACACAAACTTCATTTATTCCACATCTCATATAATACAAACAAGAATACAAAGCATTACAAATGTATTAGGAACTGTTTGACTCAAAAGATATTAACTCTTTTTGAGCAAATCAATCAAAATGATGAAGGGGTAAATCGTAATCGCAGATAATAAACCCTAGGATACCTTTAATAATCGGAATATCAGTAATAGTGAAGGAGAGAGAGAGATAGAATCGTAGAGAGATAAAGATGAAAAAGAGTATGAGCTCGTGTATTCCCCAAAAGAAAAAGCCCTCCCCACTTACAAGACCCGGATCCCCTTTATATAACAGAGGATCCTTAATTAACGGGAAGATAAAATTAGAGTATATTCTATAACAGAGCCGACGATAACGCGGGGTCGTTTCTCCTCTTGCCCCCGTGTCGTCCCCTTATGTCGACTCGTAGGTATTCGGTGGTTGGTCGTGTTGACTTTGAGATGTGATCAATCAAATTCGACCCCATACAGTTAGTCCCTCCGCTCGTCGGGGTCGCAGCGAGACGTGTCCTCGATGGGCGGAATCAATACTTCCGTCAGGGAGAGTTTGACTTGTCGAAATGTTACGACGTGACCGGTGGGAGACGGTGATCATATCTGTCAGAACGTTGAGGTGAAACACCCTTCCCTGGGTGACGTCCGCGTTCGCAAGCGTCATCATTACGCGTATTCTCGAGGCAAAAAGGCTGCCGCTATGGCGTTTGGTTTCCCGCGCTGATTTGAAATCTTCCGCCTCGATTCTGGCGCGACCCAACCCTATAAATAGGGGAAGGGTTCAATTTCGTTGAAGAACTTTGGTCATTCTTGAGAATTTTCCAGCCCTCCTCTCTTGATTTTCATATTCCTGCGCTTTCGTTCTTGATCGGGGGTTCTTCCTCTTTTTTTTTTGTTCCGTTGTGTAATACTTTCTCCGAACAAGATCATGCCTAAATCTCGCCGTACCAACGAAAGGGTTCCTGAGGCTGCTCCGTCGAACGCGCCACCCTCCTCCGATGGCGGAGAGGTGGAGGTAGAGGAGGACGTGAATCCTCTTACGGTGGAAACATTATTACCGAGGCATTCTTTGCCTCGGTGTAATTTCAATAAGGATTCCCCCACTATTTCGATTTCAGAGCTTTCCGAGACGGAACAAAATCACTTGGATAACCTCCACGCTAAATACGGTATCCCTTCCCATGTAGAGATGGTCCTGGCGGGGGGAGACTATGTTGACGTTCATAGGCCGGGGTATTGTGCCTTCTACGAATACCCCTTTTTGATAGGTTACGACCTTCCTCTTTTTCCCCTGGCGCAAGAGTTCTACAGATTATATAACGTCTGCCCGGCTCAGCTTACGCCATACACGCTAAAAGTGCTTCTGCTGCTGGCCAAGTACGCGGAGTTAGGCGAATGTGATGTCTCTGTTCATCATCTCTTACATTTGTTTACAGCCGGTTTCCTTAGAGGGACCATGGTGCATTTGAGAATCCGTGGTACAAAGGGGTTGGTGGTCGGGACAGACGACCGGGCGAGCCATGGATTCTGGCGCAAGTATTTCTTTATCAGGACCGAATACGTGGTTTCTAACCCCACTGGATTTCCAGAGAGATGGAACAGGACACGTAAGTGTTGTAGTTTATTAGGTTCTTCGTTGCATGCTATTACTGCGACTTTAATTTTTGCATTGCAGCCATGGCTCGTCCTCCCTAGCCCGTTGTCGGTCTCAGGAACTGGGTCGCCGGCCTGCTACCTTGCGCGGAGGAGACTCGAACTTGGCCTGCCTTCCTGCAACGTTACGACCCTAAAGTTTCTTCAAGTAAACTTCTAATTTTTGTCTCGTCGATTATACGACCTTGCTTACCTGTATGATTTTATGGCAACAGGTCGAGGTGCTTCTAGGAGGAGGGCGCCAGTTCCCGCTTTCATGCAACCCAACGCCGCCTCGGACGCTCGGGATATATTGTGCGAGTCTGTCCGAGAGGGTTGTCCTCTAACTTCTCAACAGGGGGCCACGTTCACAGCTGCGGCTATGGGGGAGTCGACCTTGATGGCACCGGCCCCGCAACCTATCGACGAATCTTCCAATGGTGAAGAGCCGTTGGAAAGAAAGAGGAGAAGACTGGAGATGGGAAAGGGGGTAGCCACTGAAGCTGACGGAAGTGGGGCACCCCGGACGATGCCAAGGCCTGTGTTCATGGCTGATGCCATTTTATCGGGGAGGTTAGCCCAGGAGAGGAGGGCCGTCCCTGGAGCTAGTTTGGTGCGCTCCGCCGAGAGGTGCTCGTCGACTAATGTCGGAGGGCCTAGTGTGGAAGCTGATGAGTCGGGTTCCGACGTCGCCTCGGAGGACGTAAATGAATTTCTAGATCGTCATACCCATGTGGAGATGGCGTCGGATGGGTCTGACCGTCGCATAGTGATCCCGGGAGACTAAAATTTGTTGTTATATAGTGAGCAGGCCGCATCGACCTTTTCCCTTTTATGTGCCGCTCCTGAGAGTGAGACGCTCAAAATAATGAATGATATGGAGCTGTCTCGGAAGGTCGCTGGCATGGCCTTACAGGTAGGTTTCCTCACCCCCTTCTCTTTTTTTTTGCGTGTTGTAGGATCGACATGGAAATGTGCTTACTTCTATTTTTTTTTAGACCCTCGTCCTGGAGGTGGAGAGAGATCGTCGTGAGCGGAAGAGGACGGACCTCTATAAGAAGATGTTGATGAAGTGTCGAAAGTATCGCACTAAGCACCGAGGGATAGCCGACCTCTTCCAACAGGACCCGGAGTTCCAAGTGTTCCGCGAGGGGCTTAAGCAGAGGGAGGCCCAGTTGGAACGTAGGGTGGCGGAGCTGGAGGAGACGGATGGGGAGCTTGTGAGGGCCGTTGCTCGCAGCAGCGAGTTGGAGGCCCTCCATAGGGCGAAGGAGGATGAACTCGAGTTGAGTCGAGGGGTGACTGCGGAGAATGCGGACCTGCAGCAGAAGGTAGCTGGTTTGATCGCCGAGCTGGGTGCTAAGATGGCGGAAGTTGATAGACTCAAGGGCGAGCTGAGTGCTAACGTCGATAAATTGGCTGCGTTGCAAAGGCAGGTAGCTCCACCGAGGTCAGAAGAAGCAGATCGTCGTTCTCGGCCCTCCTCATCTCGTCTTTTATTTGGTCGGGGCCTGCCTCGTAGCACATATGAGATGTGGGTCTATACGGAGGCTCGACTTGATGTATATAGAGCTTTACACGCCGAGGGCCAGGCGATGGAGGCGGAGGTTCGGGCGGCGCATAATGAGGCACGTAACGCTCGCGAATCATGCGGGTATGACCCCAACTCTCCTGATGGGGAGGATGTTACCTCTGAGGACGTCAACCACCTTGACTCAGATTCATGGTATGAAGATGCTTATCCCACAGGGGGTAATGAGTAGTTTAAGCTTGTCTGTTTTGTTTCCGCATTTTTTGGTTGCGGGTTGTACTAAGGCCCGTCCGTAGGGGCGAATGTAAATGATTTTTGTTGTAATATAAACTCTTGTTTTTGTCGCTTCGTCTATTTGCTGCTTTTCCCTTTTTGGGTTTTTTCATGACACAGTCTCCACAGAGGTTATGTTTACTACTGTTAAAAGATTTCGTCGTGGTTCGAACGAGGTCGAGCTGATGATGGCCTTGGCCATTAGGATGTTGCTTCGACTGTCGTCGAAGTAGTAGCCGTCATGGTTCGAACGAGGTCGAACTGATGGCCTTGGCCATTAGGATGTTGCTTCGACTATCATCGAAGTAGTGTCCGTCGTGGTTCGAACGAGGTCGAGCTGATGATGGCCTTGGCCATTAGGATGTTGCTTCGACTATCGTCAAAGTAGTAGCTGTCATGGTTCGAACGAGGTCGAGCTGATGGCCTTGGCCATTAGGATGTTGCTTCGACTGTCGTAGTATCCGTCGTGGTTCGAACGAGGTCGAACTGATGATCTTGGCCATTAGGATGTTGCTTCGACCGTCGTCGTAGTATCCGTCGTGGTTCGTACGAGGTCGAACTGATGATGGCCTTGGCCATTATCATGTTGCTTCGACTTTCGTCGAAGTAGTATCCGTTGTGGTTCGAACGAGGTCGAACTGATGATGGCCTTGGCCATTAGGATGTTGCTTCAACTGTCGTCGAAGTAGTATCCGTCGTGGTTCGAACGAGGCCGAACTGATGATGGCCCTTGCCATTAGGATGTTGCTTTGACTTTCGTCGAAGTAGTATCCGTCGTGGTTCGAACGGGTCGAACTAATAATGGCCTTGGCCATTAGGATGTTGCTTCGACTGTCGTCGAAGTAGTATCCATCGTGGTTCAAACGAGGTCGAACTGATGATGGCCTTGGCCATTAAGATGTTGCTTCGACTGTCGTCGAAGTAGTATCCGTCGTGGTTCGAACGAGGTCGAACTGATGGCCTTGGCCATTATCATATTGCTTCGACGATGGAGATTTGACTTCTGTTCGTATAATGGAGATTTCTGTTTGTACAATGGAGATCGACTTCCGTTCATATAATGGAGATTTCTGTGTATACAATGGAGATTGACTAGTGTATCAACTTCCGTTCATATAATGGAGATTTCTGTGTATCCAATGGAGATTGATTAGTGTCGTCCCTTCATTACTTCGGTCTAGAGATCGTGTCGACGGGCCGAGGTGGTGAACTGCGCTTTGATCCACAGGGTTTCCCCTTCGCCGCCTCATTAAAAACCTCCCCGGGAAAACCCAATTGGGAAAAAACTCGGGTGAGGGAAAAATAGTACGACTTAGGAGACGCCTTTCAGAAGTGGAAGTACTTGAGGTGGGCGACGTTCCAGTTGTTTTGGAGCGGCTTTCCTTCCATTGTTTCCAGTTGGAAGGCTCCTTTGCTTGCCGTCGCTGTGATTTTATATGGTCCGTCCCAGTTGGTTCCCAACTTTCCTTCGTTTGAGTCCTTTGATGCAAGTGTTTTGGCTTTGAGGACGTAGTCGCCAACTTTGAGTGATCTTACCTTTGCCTTCTGGTTGTAATACCTCTCTACTTGCTGCTTCTGGGATATCATTCGTATGTGAGCCATATCTCTCCATTCTTCGACCTCATCTAGGTCTTGCAACCTACTCTCGTCGTTAACTGCTCCGCTTATATGGGAGTATCTCAGGCTGGGCTCCCCAACTTCGACGGGTATGACTGCTTCGGTCCCATAGACCAGTGAATATGGCGTTTCTCCCGTGCTGGACTTTGGTGTAGTTCGATATGCCCATAATACTTTAGGTAATAATTCGGGCCATAGCCCTTTGGCTTCTTCGAGCTTCTTTTTTAATATGTTCAATACCACTTTGTTGGAGGACTCGGCTTGGCCGTTGGCAGCGGGATGATATGGTGTGAGAGTATCCGCTTGATGTGCCATTTTTTGAAGAACTCAGTCGTTTTCTTTCTGACAAACTGGGGTCCGTTATCGCAGCTAATTTCTTTTGGGATGCCGAAACGGCATATAATATTCTTCCATATAAAGGCGATGACCTCCTGTTCGCGTATTTGTGCGTACGCACCTGCTTCCACCCACTTAGAGAAATAGTCAGTTAAAACCAAAAGGAAACGTACCTTTCCTCGTCCTGCCGGAAGGGGGCCGACTATGTCCATTCCCCATTTTATGAAAGGCCATGGCGACGTGACGGAATGGAGTAGTTCGCCTGCTTGATGTATCATAGGGGCGAACTTCTGGCTCTGCTCGCATCTCTTGACATAGTCTGCTGCTTCCTTTTTCATAGTAGGCCAGTAGTATCCAACACGGATGATGCATCGCACGAGGGCGCGGTTCCCTGTGTGGGCTCCGCAGTGACCCTCGTGTACTTCCTCTAGTACTTGCCTTGTTTGGTGCGGCCCTAGACATTTGGCCAAGGGTCCGCCGTACGTTCTCTTGTAGAGGTTATGATCTATTAGGCTGTATCGAGCCGCTTGTGTCCGGAGTTTCTTAGCTTCCTCTTTGTCTTGCGGGAGTGTTCCGTCCTGTAAGTAGGATATAAAGCGATTACGCCAGTCCCAAGTTAGATTCAGAGAGAGTACCTTGACGTGGTCTATGGCCGAGTGAAGGAGGGTGACCACGTTCTCTTTATTGATATTCTTGGTGGCCGCAGCCAATTTGGCGAGGCCATCTGCTTCAATGTTTTGTGCTCTAGGAATCTGATCGAGGTGGCATTCTTCAAACTCCGGCAATAACTTATGGATCTCGGACTGATATTTTTGCAGCCTTTGCTCTTTGATCTGGAAAGTCCCGGTGACTTGATTTACGACGAGTTGAGAGTCGCAATGGAGGATGAGCCGCCAGGCACCGCATTTAAGGGCTAACTTAAAACCTGCAATCGCAGCCTCATACTCGGCTTCGTTGTTAGTCATCTTGGGGTATCGTATGGACTGGCGAATCACTTCGCCCGTAGGGACTTCGAGGACGAGTCCCAGTCCCGATCCTGAGGCATTTGAGGCGCCGTCAGTATAGAAAGTCCAGAGGTTGGTACATGCGGAAGCGCAGAGCGCTTCTTGTTTCGCCTCTGGCAATATCTCCCCGCTGAAGTCGGCGACAAAATCAGCGAGTACCTGCGACTTGATGGCAGTTCGCGGTTGGTAAGTTATATCGTGCTCGCTGAGCTCTATTGCCCATTTGGCGAGTCTGCCTGAGAGCTCGGGCTTATGTAGGACGCCCCTTAGGGGGAAGGTTGTTATTACCTTTATGGGGTGGCATTGGAAATAAGGTCTTAGCTTGCGTGCAACTACGACTAGGGCCAGGGCCAGTTTTTCAAGGTGAGGGTACCTTGTCTCGGCGTCTATTAAAGTTTTGCTGATATAGTAAATAGGAGATTGTGTACCTTTGTCTTTGCGGACCAAGACCGCACTGACAGCGACCTCGGATACTGCCAAATACACGAGCAAACATTCGCCTGGATTCGCTTTGACGAGTAGGGGTGGTGAAGATAGGTATGCTTTTAGCTTTTTCAGGGCGTCAATGCATTACTCATTCCATTGAAGCCCGTGATCCTTTCTTAGTACGTTGAAGAACTTGTGGCATCTATCTGAGGACCGTGAAATGAATCTCGACAAGGCGGCTATTCGCCCTGTTAACTTCTGTACCTGTTTCTTGCTGGTTAGTTCCTCAGGTATTGCATCGATGGCCTTGATCCGATCAGGGTTGACTTCGATCCCTCGTTCTGATACGAGGTAGCCCAGGAATTTCCCCGAGGCTACGCCGAAAGCGTATTTTTTCGGATTCAACTTCATCCCGTACTTCCTCAATATCTCGAAGGCTTCCTTCAAATGATCAATGTGGTCCTTTTTCTTTGCCGACTTTACCAGCATATCATCAATGTAGACCTCCATCGTTTTGCCGAGCTGGTCCTTAAACATTTTGGTAACCAACCGCTGGTAAGTGGACCCCGCGTTCTTGAGTCCGAACGGCATTACCTTGTAGCAATAAGTCCCTTGATGGGTGATGAAGGTTGTCTTTTCCTGATCCTCTTCGCCCATCAGGATTTGATTATAACTGGAGTAAGCGTCCAAAAAGCTCAACAGTTCATGCCCTGCCGTTGCATCGATCATTTGGTCGATGTGGGGTAACGGGAGGAGTCCTTTGGGCATGCCTTGTTCAGGTCGGTGAAGTCCATGCACATTTGCCACTTCCCGTTCTTCTTTTTGACCATGACTACATTGGCGACCCACTGGGGATACTTCGATTCTCTGATGGAACCATTGGTGAGTAATTTCTCCACTTCTTCGCTGACCGCTTTGTTGATTGCGGCATTGAATTTTCTCCTTGCCTGCCGTACTGGCGGATAGAGCGGGTCGACATTCAACCTATGGGTGGTGATATCCCTTGGGATGCCCTGCATATCTGAGTGGGAAAAGGCAAACAAATCGGCGTTGTTAGTCAGAAATTCATGAAACGTACATGGTTCTGGGAGGTTGTGCCCGATGTAAGCCTTTTTTGTGCTGTCGGCGTCGTCCAGCTGGACTGGATCGGGGTTTTCTATAGTTGCCTTGCAGGCTTCTACGACGTCAGGGTCTTTGATGACTTTTGCTGGGGGGTTGAGTTTAGTTCCCGACATGGCTAATTGCTATGCCTCCGCACTTGCTCCTTTCAGTTGCTTGGTATGTGTTCAGTCTTGGGCGATCCGATAGCATTCCTGGGCGGTGCGCGGTTCGCCTCGAATGCTGCATACCCCCCCCCCCCCCATGGTGTGGGAAATTTGATCACCTGATAAAAGCTTGAGGGGACGGCTCGCATGGCGTGTATCCATGGGCGTCCTATGATAGCATTATAGGTTGTTTCTTGGTTCATGACGTGGAATGTGGTTTCCAACGTGACTCCCCCTGCCAAGACTGGCAGCACTACTTCTCCGGACGTCCGCTCTACTGAATTGTTAAAACCCGTTAGTGTTATGCAACGCGGTATTATTCTATCCTCGAGCCTCATTTGTACGAGGACTCTCGGGTGGATGATACACGCGCCACTTCCGTCATCTACCATGATTCTTTTTATATCTGTATCAGCGATGCATAAAGTTATAACTAAAGCATCATAATGGGGGAAAGACAAACCGTCGGCATCTGACTTTTTGAAGATGATACTGTCTTCGAAGTCGTCATACCGTTCGTGAGCGACCATCCGCTTGAGTTTATGTGTGGCGGTGAATTTGACATGGTTGATCACTGAATCATCACCGCCGCCAATGATCATCTGTATGGTGTGTGCCGGCGATGGTGGTTTCGGAGGTCCTTGGGAGGGGTCGCGTCCTCTGGTGAAGTTGGCCCTTCCTTTATCGCTGAGTAGCTCAGGTGCCCCTGGTCCAGCATTCTGACTACCTCTTGTCGTAGGCCTATGCAATCCTCAGTCTTGTGTCCTCTTTCCTGATGGAATTCACAGAGGACGTTTGACCTGCTTGTGCTTTGATCCGATCTCATTTTTGGCGGCCATTGTACCTTCATGCCCAGCTTCTCTAGTGCGTACACTATCTCTGAAGGGGAAACACAAAAGTTATGAGCAGATAATAGTGGAGGCATACCTCTTTCGTTTCGAAGGGGTGCGGTGTGTCGTAGCACGGCATATGCATGTCTCGGAGGAGGCGGGTTGGATGTTCTGACATAAGGCTGGTGTCTTTCTCGATTGAAACGCGGGGCCTGATCTCTTCGCCCATTGTTGCGTCTATCCCTCCTTGCTTTGGTTTGAACCGACGTTAATAGCTGAGTTGGCCCGTTAAGATCATCGTCGTCTGCCCTTACCTCAGCGCAGTAGGTGTTAAGAATTTCTTCCCATGTGGTGGTGGGGGGTACTCCATGAGTCTGTTGAGCAATTTTTTGGTCGCCTTTGATCTGCTCCTATTGACCACCATTCCTTCTGACACATTGGGCAGTCCCATTCTCACCCTGTTGAATCGGGCTAGGAAGTTTAGAGTCCCTCGCCCGCTGTTTGCCGGATGGCGAAGATGTCGAGCGATGGCAAATTTATCTGCCATCTCCTCGAACGTCGATATCGACCGTGCTGGTAACTGTGAATACCATGTTAGTGCCCCTCCTGTCAGAGTCTCGCCGAACTTTTTCATCAGTACGGATGGCACTTGTTCTTTTGACAGGTCATTGCCTTTTACTGCGGTGACGTAATGGATTAGATGATCTTCTGGATCCGTGGTCCCGTCGTATATTTTCAAGTATGGTGGCATTTTGAAGGTTTTCGGGATGGGATGGGGAGCAGCTTCCTCACTGTATGGTTGTTCGACAAACCTTCCTACATCGCATTTTGGCAGCAGCTTAGGGGCGCCAGGTATCTTGTCAACCCTTTCCTGGTGTTCTTTCATTTGATCATGAAGCGCTTTGTTCTCGTTTTCCATCTCTTCCATTTTCTTTAGGATGGTTGCGAGTGTAACATCACTTGCATCGATGACAGTGTGGGTGTTGCTGGTTCGTGCAGTGCTTGGCTCGCCAGTGACAGCAGCGATTCCTGCCGCCGGCAAATCTTCGGTATTTCCTAGAGGGGGTTTTTCGAGCATGTTGCTTATAGCGCTCGCCAACCACTCCTCGAGAAGCTTTTTGACTACTGGTGATGTTTCTTTTGCCGTGGACGTAGAAGCTCCTCTTTCACGCAAGATCGTCAGATCCTCGAGTGGAGAGGGTGAGATCTCTCCCTCCGGTGTATCCCTTGGTGTTATATTCTCGGTATCTTCTCTACCGGCTTCGTTGAGGGAGTCCAAGAGGTTATTTGAGACATTTGCTATCATCTTCAACCTTGCTTCTTTTTCTGCCATCGTTGGTTTCTATGGAGTGTGAAGAATAGTGATCGTTGTTTTTGATATCCCAGGTGGGAACTATGATTTCAACTACAGAAATCCCCACAGACGGCGCCAAATTGTTTGATTCAAAAGATATTAACTCTTTTTGAGCAAATCAATCAAAATGATGAAGGGGTAAATCGTAATCGAAGATAATAAACCCTAGGATACCTTTAATAATCGAAATGTCAGTAATAGTGAAGGAGAGAGAGAGAGAGATAGAATCGTAGAGAGATAAAGATGAAAAAGAGTATGAGCTTGTGTATTCCCCAAAAGAAAAAGCCCTCCCCACTTACAAGACCCGGATCCCCTTTATATAACAGAGGATCCTTAATTAATGGGAAGATAAAATTAGAGTACATTCTATAACAGAGCCGACGATAACGCGGGGTCGTTTCTCCTCTTGCCACCGGGTCGTCCCCTTATGTCGACTCGTAAGTATTCGGTGGTTGGTCGTGTTGACTTTGAGACATGATCGATCAAATTCGACCCCATACAAGAACAACAAAGAGATCTCTTGACTAAGGAACGAGCTTATGGCATACAACAATACAGTAACTAGCAAGCTCTGAACAATAAAGAAAAGTCAAGCAAATAACGTTCTAAACATAAAGAATTTTTTTTTAAAATGACTCAACACATAAGCCAAACACAAACTAAGACTAAGGAGATTAATTGATAAAATACACATCAACAGTCAATATTCGGTCACCAGGCTACTATAAATTTGATAAGATGACAAATAATAGATCGGGTATAACAGATGGCGAGCACCTTACTTAAACACGACATATATTACAAATAGAAAAATTACAATTGAAGTATTAAAATAAGCCGAATGAACAGCACTGGAATTTAGGCAAATTTATTCAAGCTCGCATAGAATAAGTAACTTAATTGTATAAACACAGGACTAGACTAGTATAATAAATATATACCAATCTTCTTCGATGGGCCCCCGTACTTATTGAACCTCCCGTGTGCAAGGAGCCACCTTTGTCGGACAAACGGGTTGCCTTTGCCAATTCACTTTTCTTTTTAAATTCCGGAGAGGCCCAATACTCAGTTAGTTTAGTCCATATATCCTCAGTAATCCAATCCGGCATCTCTTTCTTATCTCGAGCTTCTCGAAGCATATCAGTCAACCTATCAGCACATATCTTGAAAAAGACGCCTCGTACCTTTGCTTCACGTTCAACTGGCCAAGCACACTTCATCTGCAAATAATTAATTTGTTAGATTGGTTAAATACACTACAAGAAACATGGGATACAATGTTGCGGCCAAACGCACTCACGCAAGTGCACGCGGTCGTCAAGTAATAAAGTGATTAAAAGTCGGATGTCGAACCCACGAGGACTTGTGATTAACCATTAACTAAATTAGATTATCCTGATTATCTAAACAAGAATTAAACCTAGAAGTAATTGATTCTAAACTAATTAAATAAAGAATATAAATAATGAACTTTAAACAGAGGAAGAGAAGATTTTTATGACATCAATGTAATGAAAACGATCTAGGGTTATGGGCTATCTAACATTCCTATTGTATTCTTCAATTGAATTGACTAACTAATTTATCGAGTTTATTGGTTGACAGGGTTAATATTACTCATAAGAATCTGTCGAGTTCTTACTCACCTATTCAAGCTAACCTAATGCCTATATATCTATGGAGTTAGAATCAACAAGAACGCATTTATAATTCCTGTATTTCAACCAGGCAAGGCAATTAGGTATATGTCTATCCTAATTGCGAATCCGTTCCCCGATGCCCAGGTTCAAGAACTTGCTCTACTCAATCCTATATGCAATCTAGAATTCCCACTTTCGAGTTCAACTCTAGATTCGTAGATAGTATTCAATTGGTGATCAAACAATCAAATAATTAAGTGCAGGATTAAATAAATAAACCAACATGATAAACTAAGAAATCAAAATCAATATCCGAATAACAATAGTCATAAAAGAACCACAACTCTAGAACGTGAAGCTTAGCACCACATAGACATTGTAGCAAAATAACAAATCATACAAAGAAACATAAAAATTACTAAGTTGGTGGAAGAAAAGATGAAACTCGGCCTCCACGGCGACTCTGTACTTGTGTTTTCCTCTCAAAAACGTCCTCCTCCCT